AGAGGTGGAACTTTCGCACTGCAACTGGCGGCAAGAAATCTAAAGCCAACGCCTTGCCTGAGCAAGGGAAAAGATGGAAAGGAATCTATTTCTCTAGATCCCTTGCCCTTTGCGAGCAACATGTGCTGCAGTCTTTCCCATTCAGTTTGCACTCGGTTTGGGTGTAGGAGTTACGGGTTATGATTTCGGTCCATGTGAAAGCCCCACAAAGTCAGCCAGGTCATGTCCAGGCTTGGTCGATCGGTTTTGGGATCTCAGGACATACAGCACCAAAACTTCTCAGCGGAAGCAGGTGAAGCCCCAAACCCTTGCGTATCTATAGGGTTCTACCTAGTCGGTGAGATTATGTAATTAATGCATATTAATGCATCACTACATATGAATGACATAGCATCCCGTTAGAAACCGCTCCATACTTAAAGTAGCATACCTTATTCCGTGTCTGCTGGCCCCGTTGCGCTGCGTGTTGCAAGCTCCCACCTTTGGTCCTCAGGCCCTGGATGCGGGCAGGATACTATAGGGGCGTTAGTAATTGGAATAGGGCTCCTTTTGCAGGACTTTTAAGGGTTCCTCTAAAAGGGGTTATGTAACGGCTTTTACAAGGATTTAGTACAGGGGCCTTATAATGATTAGAATATGGTTTTGGGAGTTCCTTACTAGAATCAGAATCCTAGTATATTAATATATCCTTAAACCCTATTCTAACTGTTAAGGCCCCGGCCGGTAGTACCTAAAATCCCAAACTTAGCCCCTATAGCCCTTCAAAAGCAGACAAAGAATCAAGCCACACAGACCGGCCGACATCTGATGAATTCTAAGACCCCTGACGGCCCTGACGTATATGGGAGCTTCCGAAAATTCGGGGTACCTTATTTGGGGCCCTTATAACAAGGATACTACTATGTAAGGTACCATATTAGTTAGGGTCCCCAATTTTCTTTCGGAAACTCCCATGTAACCTCAGCAGAGATTTTGTTTTGGGAAGGAGGCGGCTGAACGTTGCACCTGCCGAGGAAAAGCTTGATTGTGGCGAAGATGGACGGGGACCAAAATAGCTCCATGCTGTCAAAGTGGGCTCCAGGGCTCGGGGTGTAGGGTGCGGGCTTTTGGGCGTAGGGCGGGCAGGGATCCGGGGACTTTTTGCCCGAGCTGTACGACATGGCCTTGCCTATGGCATCTGGTTTTGTTTACGAATCCAGGGAGTCCCAAATCCCATGGGATGGTTCCGGGTGGGCCTTTTGGGGGCCGTTGGGGTGGGCCTGCCATCGGCCGTTGAGGGTTCAGGGGGAGGGCTCAAAGATTTAGGGCTCAGGGTTTGGGGCCTGGGGCTCAGAGATGTAGGTCTAGGGTTTGGGGTTTAGGGTTTTAGGGCTTATAGGGGTGGCCACACGACCACCAGTGAATGGTGGCCACAAGCAATTCGGATATGGAAAGAGGTTGTCGGGGATTTGGCTAAAGGCCCGGAATCCACAAGCGACGAAGTGGAGTGTTTAGTTAAGGCTCTCCGTTGCCCGACGACTTCTTGTGGACTTCCTACCCCCACATTTTCTTCGTCAAGGCCTGGCCTTCTAGGAAATGCCTGCTTTGGTGATTCCCCAAGGGTTTAGGGTTTTGGGTTTAGGGTTTAGGGTTTGGGGTTTAGGGCCGTCAGATCGAGTAGAGATTAGGGTGGTGTCTACGTCTGTCAGTTGTACCTGTATACTTACCGCATACACTTTTCATTTTGCCTGTCTCCTTGCTGGCAAAGACTAGCAGAAACAAGACTAAAAGGTGATGGCAGGAATACGGGCACCCTCATTGTCAATGGGATACTGGACATCGTCCCCAAAACAATTCGCCTCTGCACAATGGAGGGGGTCCTAATGACATGAGGCTCTCATTGAATGAACTACCCGGTCCAACCTACAGCCATGATGAGCTTTGTTATGCATACAGTGCCACTCTTCCACACCTACGGAAGCACATGCACTCACACACAGACAGGTGCATGCGTGCACGCACGCATATATTACATCCCGATGAACCCCTGCCTGTACCAATCAATATACAACACGCAATCCTCCACCAATTCTGTGGAGCTGCGCCATGCGAGCATGAAGCTCAATACCCACATCATATCAAATTTATAAAACCCCCCAACCCTAAACACTATATAAACCTTTTTCAACCCTAAATCCTAAAAGCAAAAAAGCACCGCACAATTGTGCAACCTGAGCCCGAAGCTCCAAATCCCAAGCCGGAACCGGTGCGTTGGATGGAAGGTTTCAGGCTAATTGGTTTTTTCCGAAAATTAGGGGTACCGCGTTTTGGGGATCCGTATAATAAGGAGCCTACTATTTAGGGCACTCTTTTGGGGTCCCGCATTTTCGGAAACTCCCAATTAGGGTTAGGGTTTAGGGTGTCCATGTGTTGGGGCTTGGCTCAGGGTCTCGGGATTTAGGGTTTCGGGGGGGGGGGTGGTTAGACCGGAGATGTATTGGGCTTATCGTGATTTGGGAGTCTCCGAAAGTTGGGGGATACCTTATTTGGGGGTCCTTATAATAAGGATCCTACTATTTAGGGTACTCTATTAGGGTACCCTATTGTCGGAGACTCCTATTTGGGGGGGAGGGGGGGTGTAGAAATTGGCTCAATGCTGCACTGTCATCTTCGGGCAGCACAGCTTTGGGGTCGAAACGTGTAGGTTTGTCAGTAGAGTAGATGCTCTGGGGCGCGTCCTGCAGGCAGGCACCAAGAAGCCCATTCTTTTCCATGGAAACCGGACCGTCTCGCACCTGGTTCAGCATCTTCTACAGCATCTGGATGGATCTTTATGTGGGTGTTAGCGCGACAGAATTTCCCAGCAGGCAGTGCCAAGTTATCAGGTAACAGGGAGCAAGGTTAAGGGGCAGGCATCCCATGATTGACCTTTAACCAAGCCGACCCCCATACTGCAACATACCTAAACTGATTGGGGCGGAAGGGTGGACAGTGGACCCAACCATGAAAACATATGGCGCTGAGCCGTGATAAGTCTGACATCTACGCCTCTACGCACAACAGATCCACGACAGACACGTAAACCACGAATCTGCAGACCGATTGGTTCTACTCGCTGAATAGATTGCTGGAAAGGTTCAGGCCAGTAGTTATCCTCTTCCCAAAGTTCCAAACCCTAAGCCGCGAGTCAGGTTTGCCGAAGAGCATGGCACAAAGCCATTGGACCTGGACCCCAGCATCAACCTCGATGACATAAACGAGCTATAGTGCACGCGAAAGGCGAAAAGAGAGGGTCGAGCGCCCTTGATCTCATGGTGTAATTTGTTGAATCCTGGACCAGGAGCAATTTCCTAGGTCCTTAGATCTTCTATAGCCTGCTAAAAGCCTCTTTGAAAAGCCCGTTGGCTGCGCCCTTACGATGCCGCTTAAGTCAGATACAGAGGGCAGATGAGGGGCTAAAGGTTTCTCTAACTATCTCTAGCCTGCTTGGTGTCGAGAAGAATGAGATCCTGCACCGAAGACCCTGTTATACGCTGACAGCAATGTTTACCCATACCCTATGGCACTGCACATCTTGAAACTCAAAACTCCTAAAACCCGAACCCCGCGCTCCTTGAACGGCCCTAAACTAAACCCTACACTCTGGAAGCAAGCCCTAAGCCCCCTCTCCCGCAAAGTGGAACTTACCATCTGGGGGCAGGATTGGGCTGGAGTGCTGGTTCACCGTAACCTGCTGGATAGTCTCCGTGCCTCAAACCCGGTAGTGGATCTGGAGAACTAAACATGAACAACTAGATTTGTTTCTTGGACCTGGGTGTGGGTTGCATGATGCAGAGTCAGCTTGCAGGTTTCAGGCCGTTCAAGCGAAGGGAGGGTTGCGGTACACTATAAAGAAGTAGTATCAGGTGTTGAACTTGAGTTTTTTTGGTGTTCCAGTGTAGGAAACCTCTTCTCGGGTCTGGTACGACGGTCAAATCTCAGCCAAAATTTCGGACATACCTGCGCCCACCAGATCCCTGCGTTTAGCTTCTGAGGCTTACTGACTGTTTGAGGGTGCTTAAGTTTAGGGATCTGATATAGAATCTTTAAAAACCGCTAATAATAATCCACCTGAGCTTCCGTTTCAGAGTTACCGTATGGCACACCCCAAAAACCCTCCTAATTATTGAGGCCTCCATGTTTAAAGCCTTGGGTTTAGGCTGGGGTAAATTCGCAAGCAGGACTGGCCCAGAAAGCGGGATGGCTGGCGATGCATCCTGACGGCACGGCAGTGCCACGGTCGGCGGAATGTGCCCAGAAAGCCTTACTTCCGAGCACCAACAGAGTGCGATGTTGGAGACAGTCATCACTTAGAAGGGGCCCCCACCCTGTAATAGTGGTATAATAGGAATATAATAGGGCCCCAATATAATCCGTATAGCCACTATTACAGGGTGGGGGCAGCTTTTAAGTCATCACAGCAAAAGTCGCCAACCGTAAAACTTTTGATTTCAACCAGCTACAGCCGATCTAGGGCCCCGAAAAGCCGCCGCTTTGGCACCCCTAGCCATCAGCTCGCCTAAACGCGGCTACCGAGGCATCCGGCGAAGAACAGGAACACTTGAACCTGAAGGGTACCAAGATATCCGGCAAAGAAGAGGAACATTTAAACCTCAGGGGCGTTGATGGTTGATGCGCTTTGTACAGGTATTGGGCTCTACACATTCTGGCCAAAACTAGCCATTATAAACCCCAAATCCTAAACACCTTGCCGAAGTTCCAGCCACAACCGCCAACTACATCGACCCAACCGCGGCAACCATGCAGGCCTCATGCACTACTGCATCCCACAACTGCAAACACACACAAATCCACAACACTATTGAATGGTCACTAGTGACACTAGTGGCTCATACTACAGCGACGGCCGGCAAAGGGAGACATGCAGGCGCGAAACGCACGCACACATCCACACGCACCTTAACCCTAAACCCTAAACTAAAACGTGCCCAAACAATGATGACAGACATTGAACAAAGAAGGCTCCTGGTGATGCTGGGTGTTGCAGCGCTGTCGGCCGGCTGCGGTCTGCTGCCACCCGGATACATCACAATATAGCTTCTTTAGTATAGATTATATGATTATATTGTATACTTAGATTATATATTTATATTTATATTCTATGACACTATAACTTATATTATACTTAAAAATCCTATATTGTATCCTATCATATCATATTCTGTTATATTATACCTACTCGGAAGTGTCGGATTTGGGATTAGGATTTGATAGATTAGTTTAGGGGCTGTAGGGTTTATGCAGAAGTGTGAGTATCTAACATTGGCTTGAATTCCGTTTAGTTTTGGGTGGTTAGGGTTAGTATAGAAGCCTGCAATGCAAAGAAAATAGGTAGCATTCCGGGCTTGAGGATTGCAGGGTTTGGGTTGAAGGGTTTGGGATCCACGACTTAGGTCTAGGGTTTCGGGCTTTCCATGTTGTGGCTGGGGTTTTGGATTTTGGTTTCAGCGTTTAGTTTAGGTTTAGGGTTGGCATGTCGGGATGGCTGAAGAGAGTGGTTTGACATGCCTTTCGGGGGCAACTTCCTTGTCACATGTATTCATATGGTTGCCGTGGTTTGCTGACTCCTACGGCTCCAGTTGCCTAAATAGTAGGTTGCTAGCAATATACTATACACCCCAGTAACCTACTATCTAGGTAACTAGAGCCCTAAATGCGTTCCCAATTCTGTGCTTTTGATTCGGTATGTGGGTGGTTGTCAAAGTGATGGTCCCTTTGTGGGTCCTTAGTATAATACGCCACCTAATATTCAGGGTGCCCAAACAGGGACCATAAGTTTGACAACTACTCTAGGACCTAGAGTAGGCCCTTATTCCCTTTTTTAGGGTTCAGGTTCCCTTCTAAGCCCCTTTAAACCAAAAAGGGCACCCTTTTTATTCCTAGGTTACTCTTAGGTCTAGTAGGGGGCATACAGGCGGCAAAGCTTGTGGGTTGCAACGGGAAGAGGTTGAAGGAGACCAGGGCCCAGGGATCAAGGTTTGAAACATACCTGGACCCCAAAAGTGTGTAGAAGGATAGCCTTTTATTGTCCACACTTTTGCTTACCTTTGGTGATTTAGGTCTTGATTGCTCGTCACCTTACCCAAAGGCCGCAAAGTAGTTCCTTTTTGGGCTTCATATATAGAATTCTATAGGGTACTCCCAAAAAGGTTGGAATATGATTATCCTAAGCCCTTTATGGTAAACTATAAGGTATCCTACCCTGAAACCATATTCTAACTTTCTGGAGTTCCCTTTATGGGTATGTGCAGGATTGCCAGGTTGCAGGTTTGGGGCTGCACCAGCCAGAGCGTCCTGGTCGTGCAGGACAGCACATAGTGTGGCAGATCTAGCTTGGGGTTTAGGGTTTAGGGTTTTAAGGTTTAGGATTTAGGGTTTAGGGGTGTAGGGTTTAGGATTTAGGATTTAGGATTTAGGGGTTTAGGGGTTTAGGGGTTTAGGGTTTAGGGTGTAGGGCTTCCGGTCTAGCCTTCCGGGCTTAGAGAGACCTGCCTGCCGACCACACCTCGGCCCACCTTTTCCACCCCGGGATTTCCCAGGCTTGTTGAAGCGGTCCAGCGCATGCCGGAGAACGAGGAGGGCTCTTCTTTCCAATCGTTTTGTTGCTTTCCCGTAGAGAAAACGAAACCCTCAACCTCTATTTCCCCAACTTGTTTTATTTGGATTGAGTCAGCCGAATTCCCCTTCAACCCCGTGCACTGTTAATGCTAGGCTAGACCTTGATTTTACATGTTTTGAGCCTCCAAAGCTAAGACTCCTACCCGAAGAGTCCAGGAGGTTATCTACCCCAATGACAAAATCGGAACGAGCATATTCTTACATCCGTCGGGCGGGAATTGGGATTGATCCGAAGACAGTGAAATGATAGCTATGCATGTTCCACGAACACATGTAGGCCGACTAGTCACCAGCTTGATCCCGCAGTCCTGTCATCCCCACATCTAAGCCCTTGCTCCGTGTGTACCCATGACGCGTGTAGCCTTGTCGATGCCAGCAGCGATGATAACCTCCAACAAAGTCCAGGATTTTTCCCGCCGCATCGAGTTCAGCGACTTGATTCGTCATTATTTTCCATTTCCACTGGATCATGCCATGATGCTGATCTACCATGTGCCTTGGCTTTCAGAACCCCGAAGACAAAGCCCTAAAAGCCTAAAGCCCGTGGAAGCCAGGGATGGTTCCTTCAAGATTTATGGTTGGCATCTTGCAGGGATGTGCGCAAATAGCCATTCTCGGCCTTTGGCTACCCTCGGCCTACAGACAAAAATCACGGCTTGGGAATCCAAAAACCAGATGAGGATCCAGCTGCAATCGACGCTGTACTCCTCACCCCTAACAAAACTCAACCCAAAACCGTGATACTCCTTAATTGCATTCAACCCTGATCCCTAAACCCCAGCTTATGACCCTAAGTGACCTTCACGAGAACTGGGACTTGCCTCAGATTTTGTTTTCGTTCGGACGAGTTCCCTGCGGTGCGACTTTGTCAACTGGGCGGATGAGGAAAAAGACTATGAATCAATGAGACGAAGACAAAACTCATGAATCACATAAACCCACAAAACGCGGGCCTCCGCAATGTACCTTTCTGAGATTAGTCATCTTATAAGCCAGGGAATAGCCCTGAACTGAACCGCATACGGCATGCTAGCTTCTGAGCATCGGCGTTACGCGTTGCCTTGGGACAGTGCTGGTCCTCTGCAATAGTTGGGCTAAGGCTAGTTTTCGAGCCATGCATTTTAATCGAAAACCTCATAGGAGCCCCTGGAGGAGTCCTTGATGTTTAGAGGCCCCTTCTTTCGAGGAAGCCGTGCATGTCCTTGAGCTTCTGATTTGTCAGCCATAGCACAGAAGGGTGGTGTAGGGATTGAGCCGCAGGATGTGGGGCAGGGTTTGCCTGTTGCCTTTCGCAGAAATCATGTTTCCAAAATGTGTACGTTTACCATGCCTCCCAACAAAGGCAACATTTTAATTCTCAATATCCGAGACTGCAGACCCCTAACCCGAAGACTCGAAAGCCCTACTCCCGAAACCCAGGTCTATCTCATGCTGACGCTGATGACTTACATCATCCAGTCCGGACAGGCCCGGGACTGCGTGGATTTCATCTGGGGGATTTCAGAGGTTCCTCGAGGCGTTATTCTGTACTGGCCCATAGGCTCCATAGTAGTTCCTTTTTGGGACTACCTATGAACCCCCAACAGGAGCTACAATGGAACCTATAAGCGGTTTGGTTTAGTGTTTGGACACATCACACCAAGCCCAGGATGGCGAACTTACTAGTGGCAGTTCAGCCTGTACTCCTGGAAGAGAAAACTTAATAAAGGGGCCTGAAGAATTACTAACTCTATTTTGGGGGTTCCTGATGATAATTATAGTATAATGGGCCTTAGGACCTCGGAAGCATGCGCCTGAGAGGTGGTTGACTACGTCATTCTTGATAGCTTTGGATGTGCCCCAGGCCAGGACGGGAGACTTGAATTTTTTGTCCGGAAAGACTGCCGGTGCAATTCCCACTGCCTGTTTTGAGGTCTGCTTTACTACCTGGGTGTCCGTAACTATCGGGGTGGCTCGCTTGGTGCTGGAATCATGGAACATGTTCGGAAAACAGCCAACAAAAAAAATAAATCCTAAACCCTCGTGCCTTCCTGCAAACCAGCTGCGAGCTTCGCACAGTAGAAGAACAGAAAAAGCTCCGAAAACCTTCCAATGACTTAGGCTTTCATGTGTGCATGTATATGTACAAAAAAATGTGTACATGTATGTATGTATGATGCAGGGCTGCCACACCCCCCCTCCCCCCCCCACCCCATGGTATCCTCCCCCCTTCCCCCCCGCCCCCCCTGTGGTGTGGGGCCTGTGGTGGTACTCTTTTTGCCACGACGTTCTTATGTGTTACTCCTTGTCTTCCCTCTTGTTGTGGCACCGGTGATGCTGCTCATGATGTTGTGCTGCTCTAGACCGGGACATGAGTCGACGATCATACCATGCTCAACATCATCCTTGTCGTCGTCATGTTCATCATTGATACCTTCAAAAGAAGATCTGCCACCATCACCATCGCAATACAACCCTCATAATTCAGCATTGCAATTCACGTCAGATGCCGCTTTCCGCACACGGCAGGGCATAGTGCGACACTCCCGATCCGCGCACAAGGTCAAGGGGCAGGCAAGGTGCGGGCCGGGGGCGGCGGGGCGGGCAGGGCAGGTGGGCGTGCAGCAGCAGGGCGGCAGGGGGTTGGGGGGGGGGGGATACCATGGGGGGGGGGGGGGGGGGGGGTGGCGGCCCGGGACCCGAGAGCATGTATGTATATATTGTCTTCAGGGACAAAGACCCATGTCTCCCGCTTCGGACCCAGCACATGGGCGAGGTCAGAGTGCGTTTGGTGGGGCAATATCGCCACCTTGGAGGCCTCATACATCATAGCGGACAGGCTTTGCGAGAGGCCAGACGTCGCATTTCTCTCGCGCAAGAGGCTTTCCAGAAGCACAGACGAAGCATCTTTGAGCACCCTAGCATTGCACTTCAGGCCAAGGCCACGCTCTATGAGACCCTTGTGCTTTCTGTTCTTTTACATGGTGCTGGCACCTGGGTCTCCCCTGACAAAGCCACACTCCAGGCCCTGTCCCATGCACATGTGCTCATGGTTGCGAAGATGTTGCGACCTCGCTTTTCCTTCGATGAGGCACTACACCAAGGCCCGGATAGAATCCTTGCCCTTGCAGGCATTCCACCGGTTGCTACACTCATGCATGTGGCCCGTCTTCGCCACCTTCTTCCCTGCGTCAATCTCCGCATACCGGAGGTTTGGGCCTTGGCCCACTGGGACGGGCATTGGTTGGCAGACGTCAGGCACTCTCTCACCTGGCTAGCCTCGATCACCAACCCGAAGGGGGGATCGTGGATCCCACAATGGCCGGAGTGGAAGCACACAATGGAGAACCATCCGGGCCGGTGGAAGGCTCTTCTTCGTCGGGCACAGCAGAAGGCACTCCAACAGGAGACCTGGGATTCACTACGACAGTATAGTACAGGCCTTCTTTCCCGACAGCTCACCGCCATGGGCGGTGTCCTACATGGCACGGTACTAGACACTGCCCAACGCAGGCAATGCTGTGTGCCATGCAGGCAGGTCTTTGCCAATTATAACAAATGGTCACTGCACGCCTTTAAGAAGCATCAGAAATTGATGCAAGGACGTGGAATACTTCAAGGGCAACAGTGCCAGGCGTGCCTTCGGCATTTTGGCACGAATGTTCGGCTTTGCAGGCACCTTCGTTTCACGCCAGCCTGTCGCCTTGCCCTTCAACAGCAGGGGTTTGCTTGCCCACCTGAGCCCGGTGTGGGCAACAAAAAGGCTGCTGATGCTGGAGCCACACAGGCACCGGTTCTGCAAGCCCAGGGGCCTCTGCTTCCCATTGTGCACCCGGACAGATCCCAGTGGATAGAGGATCGTCACACCCCAGTTGCTGAGATCCTGGACTGCTTGGGCCATTTGGATTTTGACGGCCAAGTTGCTACTTTGCCACCATCCTCCCTTTGGACACGCATCCGTGAAGCAATTGGGTGCACCTGTGCACCCACAGAGCGCATATGTGCTTCGGTCTCCACCTGGAGTTCCCGCCTCGTTGACTTGGCACCTCCCGTACGGGATCGTCTGGCTCCTTGTGCTTCGTGGCTTTTGCAAGCCGATCTGGTCGAGTGGTTGGTACCAGATCCGGCAGTTGCCACACCGGTCCTATGCACATTCCGGGATGCTGAAAGTTCGCTTTGCATGCTGGATACCGCACCCATTTCTCTTCCAGCACCTCCTGCCGATCTTTCGATTCCCTTCTGTGTCGTCGCGCCCGCGAGTTGGGAACCTAGAGCCCTGCGTGCCTTTGGCGAGCGTCTGGTCTTTTTTGCCCATGATGAATGCCGGGCCACCATCGCCACGGGTTCCCTACCCTCTTTCTTTGAAGGGCCTTTTGACGAGGTTGGTTTTGTCCTCATTACAGAGGGTCTTCCCACCTATCTCGGCGCTGCACCCGATCGCCTATCCGAACAGTCCTTTCAGAGGCATTGTGCTGCTGCCAGCCTCGCTAGCGACTTGCTCCGGCTTTCGGTGCGCCTCTTTGGACTTGGAGTTCCAGTGGCCTTGGTACTACCGGCGTGCCTTGATCCCTGCTCCCAAGCCGTCATGGGCCTACCTGATGCTCGTTCCTCACAGAGTACCACCACCCGTGTCATTTTTCGGCACGGCGAGCTCGGGGCCCTTGTGTTTCACCATTTTCTTAATTAGGGATGCAAGCAAAGGGCTGCGTCCATTCATTGGATCACTCTGCCCGAAATGCGAGAAAATGCGAGTATGTATATATATATATATATATATATATATTTGAATGACTCGAAGCAGTTCGGCCAGTATGGAGAAACCCTGAAAACAGCCCTAAAGTGTGCTAAACATTCTGAACCTTGCCCTTGGAGAAGTTTGTAGAGGAGTGCGGCTCTCCGTAGACTGGGACTCCCACCTGGTTTGTGGAACCCACCGCGACTCCGTGCACCGTGGTGCGAAGGGCAGAATTGTTCGGAGGGGGCGTTTAGGGTTTACCCTAAGACCTTTTTGGGGTTCATATTTAGAATTCTATAATAAGGTAATCCCAAAAAGGAACTACTTTGGGGCCTATGAGTATACATAGGTGCTTGGGTTCGCAACTGTTCGGGCGTAAGGTTTACGGGCTTAGCTGCAAAAGCCCAACCACCAAAACAGTGAAAAGGAAGCGCTGATCAAGGACCGAGGACCCAGCACTTCAAAACACTCTTCCGACAGTGGATCTATCAACGATTGAAGCAGCTTTCTTGCTGGCATTGTCGACTGAGTCCTCGGCAAACCTGAACTCGATGTTCCTCAAACCCTATTAAGGGTGAAGGGGGCCCGATCATTATTACAACCCCCCTTAGCAGAAGAGTCGATTGTCTAAATCATTCTTACTAGGCTGGGGCTAGCAGACAGTTGTACTGCAGAGTGCGCGAGTAAGAAATGAAGCAGGAAGCATGAATTTCGAAGGAGCATGTCTATCCAGAACCGAACTTCGTAAGAGCGTGCCTGCTTCCAGACTGATTCTTCCTCAAAGCCTGAAAATCACCCAAAACCAGTGTGCACAGGGGAAAGGCCGCGATAGGTTCAAACCCTCGTCGCTTGACCCTTGGTGTGCCCGAACCCGAGGACTCCTTTCGGAGAGGAAGCGATCCTTTCATCATCCATGTGCGCCTTGGCGGCTTAAGCCTCAAGGCCGTGAACTTATAAGCGGCTTAAATGCAGCGTGTGCGGTTCAATGAACGGAACTCTAAAGAGCTGGTTGTGGATTATACAAGGCCTTGCAAAGGCAACTATCGGACTTGCTTCCGTCTACCCGACAGCCACAGCGATTACCATAGTCAGTGGTTTTGCGTGTCCGGCTTCGCGATGCAAGGCCGAGGCGAGCGTGATAACCATTACGTTGCAATGGCGGTGGCTGTCGCTATAGGTGCAACCAACATGGTGCTTTCAACATCATCAGCTTGAATGCTGCTTTCCCGGGCATGGACGGCGACGATGACGGCATGATGAGGATGACCGCGAGGGAAATATCATTGTCAAGATGCTTGTGTAGAAAGATCTGTTGATCATGGTGTTGAGGCTAGCGGCTAGCGTTAACGATGCCAGCTCTGGTCATGGCGATGAAGAAGAACATGGTGGTGATGATGATGACCACGACGATGATTGGGCGACTTTAGCATGGACGCTGGTTTTCGCGAAAATTCAGGTTCTTCCGTAGAGTGCTGAAAAGACATGCGCTGCTCATGGAGATTTAGTTAATTTAGTTGTTATTGAGTATACATGCGGTTATGACAGTTAATGGTGCTATGCTTGAGTATCATCCTGATATTGTTTTGGTTGAAGAGCTTGATGATCATCGACAAGCCGATAGGCTCCACTCACAGTAGCGATGATTATGCTTGTGGGATCGGTGATGATGATGGCGATTGCGAGTGTGCTGGTGGTGGCGAAGATAATGATAAGGAAGGATGGTGTGGGGATAGTGAAGGCGTCTGTTGATCTTGATGCTGATTTGAATCTGCAGCTGGTGGCAGCTGCCGGTGGGAGTTTGTGACCGGGCCGTCGGTGGTGGCGGTGGTGGTGGTGAAGGGATGGAACGCTTGATGGTATAAATCCTGCATTACCCATAATAAGCAATATACCGTAATTCCCATAGTTTAGGGTCCTTACGGTATTGCAGGGTTTATGTCATCAACCGAAGCATTCGCATCGGAGATCGCGGTTTCGGTAGCGGTGTTCAGGTTGCTGAGGCTGAACATGGTCGTGGTTTTACCTGGACCCCAAAAGTATGTAGAATAATAGCTTTTTATAGGCTTAGGGCCATTATTTTACCTACTTTTGGAGGTTTAGGTAGTTCTAGCCTGGGCCTCAACGGTGCG